AGCAAACTTTAGCTGGTTAACACCATGATGGACAGGCTTGCCATAGGTTGCACCCTTAGGAACTGGGCGTTTGCGGCCACCACGGCGCACACGAATCCTATATATGACATAACCTATACACACCAAAAAAATTAGTGGTCTCATAGAAAGCCATAAAACTCAAGACTCAATGACTTGTCACTAATGCAACAACATCAAATACATTTCACACTGTGACTTAAATACTATCTGATAAAGATAAAAACCAATAAAATACCAGGTTATGAGACTTAACTTTAAAAAACCACGCCTGGTGTTTTTCAAAGCACTTTACGTTAATCCCAAGGAGACACATTATTTATTTTTCTTTAGGTCAGACTTTCATGTTTGTAACCTTCGACACACCTGTTACTTTAGGCATCAGTGTATCCAATAAATGGTTAACAAATTGCGCGCGTTGCTAGCACTACTCTGCCAAAACCTTTGCGAAGGAAGCCACTGGGGCCAGAGTTTCTGGCTTTTCTCTAAGAGTATAATTTTATCCAAGCATCCACGCAGAGAGACCACGTACCTTGCTTGGCCTTGTATCCCAGTCTGCGCGCTTTATCCGGTCGGGTGGGGCGGGGAGCCCTGTGGAGCGCAGAGAGCTGGCGGTACTGCCAGCAGCGGACCCTCAGAAGGAAGCGCATCACATCAGACTGCTTCTTCCTCCACAGCTCCTGGATATACTTGTATGCACCCATCTTGGCTTACCTTTGAAATTAAACTGATTAATTATCATCCCTTTAAAGTACAACGAGAAGACCCCGTTCATCTTAGTTTACCACCAACCACAAGGAAGCCGCTGGAAATGAAAATGGCTCTGAACCAATTGCAGGGAACACCTAACCCAAACCACCGCCCCAACCTCTGCGCCCACGGAAAGCGGCGTCCAGTCACCTCTGAATCCCCAGCGCAGGGAAACGCTCAGCACGTTTTTGTTGCACGAATGAGCACAGATAGAACTGAGCACTTGAAGGGGCGGGCAGCTGCGGCAGACGGCGTCCCCATGGCCTGGCCTGCCGAAGAGACGTCGCCAACCCCACAGGGCAAAGCGCTGCCGCCGAGGGCGAACTCTCAAGGAAAATGCACTTAGTCCACTCAACCAGCCGACCTCGCTTTAAGTCGCCCTAGGCGCGGCCTTCCATCCCTCAGCTCCAAGCCTCCTTCAGGCTCCGGGCCCACCTCGAATTCGCGCCGCCATCACCTCTTCCCCCAACCCGCCCCGGGGGCCGCCTCTCCATTCCCTCGCTGCCCAGCATCTTGACCGAAGTCTCGCCGCACAAGAGGCAGGCTTAGCTTCGAGGACGCAGGGTCCCCGGGCCTGGATGGCTGAGGCGGAGGGTGATCAAAGGCGGATGAGAAAGCAAAGATTTCCGACACAGCCTACCTGATGGCTGCCGCCAGTCAGAAAGGAAAGAGCCTTTTTCCCACAATCCCTTTTGGGCTGCTCCCCCACCACAGCGAGCCGTCTTCCGGCGGAAGCCGGAGCTGCCCAGAATCTCATGGGACATGTAGTTCCGGCGTTGAGCCCAGTGGGCGGAGTTCTGCCGGCTTCGGCGCCGCCTCCCTTATTGTCCCGCCCCCGCTCTGCAGGATTAGAGTCTGACTGGCAGGGGCGTCTCGAGGGGTGAGAGAGTTGGTGGTGAGGCCTCAGCAGGCGAGCGAGCGTCCACGCTTGTCCCGCCACGGGAGTAGGCAAGGTAGGGGCCAGGCTCCAAAGTCGGTGGCCGCGGACCGCGGTGGAGCCTTGCAGCCTGCGCGCCGCTGTCTTCGGGGTCTGAGGAGGGTACAGGTTTGTTTCACGCACTGTCGGCTCTTCACCTGAGGAGTCGTTGCGGGTTCCCCCAAACGGCGCTGTCCCCTTCCCGCCCCCAGAGGACGGGCCCCCGAATCCGAGTCCAGCATGGCGCTGACAGAGCCCCGCGACGCTTCCCCAGCCCCCACGGGAGGCCTTCGTGGAGCCGGGGCTTCGCGGGTCGGGGGACGCGCGCTGCGTCCCTTTCTCTCTCTCTCCCGTGTGAAGCCCTGGCGGGCGCCAGCTGCAAAAGATTTTGCCCTAAATAGGGTCTGGGAGGCGGTGGATGCGGGCATTTATTTCCGCGCTTGACCTGCGTACCAGATTTGGTTCCACATTTGCTAACGTAGGAACCACAGGTTTTTCAGAAAAGCAAAATATTTATTTGCCAAGCCTGTTTGGCAGGTGCAAATGTTTTGGGAAGAAATGCCGAGAAAATGCTGGCACTTTGCGTTGCGTTCTTCACTGAGAAATAGTTTACTGGCTTTGTGTGTGTGTCTCCAGAATATTTTTATTTTTAAAACCGTCACATGGTTTTAATTCCCTTCCAAATTCTATGTTTAAATGTGGCCAGGGTTTAAGAGAATCATATTTACCTTGCAAATCATTAGCGGTTTTGGTTTCCCCCCCTACTTCATATTTTCCTCTAAAAAAAAAAATCACAGCTTTATCCTTGAAAGAGCCCTCATCTGGTTCACTGATTCATTCAACAAATATTTATTAAGTGCCTATTATGTGCCGAGCACTGCCTTATCTGCTGAAGATGCAGCAGCGAAGAACCGCAGAAATTCTAGCCTCCTTGGAAACGGGCAATAAACATATGTGAGCTATGTATTGCATTTGGTGATAAATGCGGAAGAAAAAGATAAAGGGAAGGGAATGTTGTTGGTGCAATATTGTATGGAATGTTCAGGGTAAGCTTTCTTGGGAAGGTAACATTTAAGAAAATACCTCAAGGATAAGAGCCTGGGGATGGGGATGGAGAGCTGATTCAGGCAGAGGGAAAAGTGCCAAGGCGGGAGCATGCCAGGATTAATAGAGGAACAGCAGCAAGGAAACTGTGTGGCTGGAATCCACCATAGAGTAAGGTATGAAATGAGGTCGGAGAGGTGAAGGTTCTTATATGGGTGTTGGGTTTCAAACTGCCTTAGATTGGAAACCGTTGGAAGGTTTTGAGCAGATGGTGGCTTCATGTGGCTTACATTTTAAGGGGTAACTTGAATTGCCGCTTTGAGGCTAAAAGGAAAGAAAAGGTGGAAACTAGAGACTAGTTAGGAGATTGTGTTAGTTTCCCATTGCTACTGTAACAAATTACAGCAAATTTACTGGTTTAAAGCAACACAAGTTTATTATTTTATAGTCTGTAGATCAGAAATCTCATTAGGCTAAAATCAAGGTGTCAGTAGAGCAGTGTTCCTTCTGGAGGTACTAGAAGGTACATTTCCTTGCCTTTTCCAGGTTCTAGAGGCTGCCTGCATTGCTTAGTTCCTGAGAGTTTCCTTCATCTTCACAGCTTCAAGTTGCTCCCTCTCCCCTCTCCAACACTCCTGTGTTTCTCTTATAAAGATACTTGTAATTACATTGGGCCTACCCAGAGAATCCGCGATAATCCTCTCATTTAAAAGTCCTTAAATTAATCACACCTGCAAAACTCCTTTTACTATGTGAAGTGACATACACATTTTTGGGAGTACGATATGGACATCTTTGGGAGCACAGGTGAGAGAAGGTGGTGCTTCACTCAGACATTCAGTAGTGAAGAAGGTGATACAGTGGTACAGCCTTGGATGTATTTCAAAGGTAGAGGTAACAGGATTTACTGGTGGATCAAATGTAGGATGTGAGAGAAATGAGTTGAAGATGATTGACTACAAAGTTGGATGAATCACTGGAAAGAAGATTCAGGCAATGTGAATAATCACTGCTAATTTATCAATTAGTTTTGCAGTTTTGTTTCGCAATTTGCAGATTCTCAATTAGCAGTTTTGCAAGATTTGAATTCGTATTTCCAATTGATTTTGAGATTCTTGACGACAGATCATTTCTGATTTTGTCCCCTAGTTTGTCCTTAATGCCTGGTACTGTGGTAAACCCTCAGTAAATATTTGGTAAATGAATAAAAGAACAGTAAGCTAGAGTTTGCTTATTACATTTTATTATGTGCAATATTGTTTGCAGAGCCCTTTGAACGTATGTTTACGTAAAATGTATTCATATGGATAAGTGAAAGTATTGCACACCATAATGTTTACATAAGTACACAGTGTAGATGTTTTCCCCATGTGATGATAATTTTTAGAGATTTATAACATCTATTATATTAACAGTGTTTCAGTATTAATATTTTACTAGTTGTATTAAAAAAGTAGTGTTTTACTTATAAAAATAAAATGATCCACTTATATAGAGCAACAGCGTTAACAATTTTCAGGAGCTGTTTCTGATGGCCCTTCAAAGAAAATGTTGACAAAACTCGATGTTTTCCACAGGAATGGACCAGGTCATGTATTTTATTCTTTAGCAACATTATTGATTAGCAGGGAAGGCAAGGTAGTATGTATTTGAGACAGCACTGGATCTTGCCTGTTAAGCGCATTCTCTTTTATGTTGGATGAGGTTTAATAGGTCACAGATTGAATTTCATTGTCCAGCAGTTTCTTAACATAGGGACCGTGTTAAGTAGCATAACTAGTGCTTCTTGCGTTAACCTCAGTGTTGATGTATTTTCTGGATAAGCAGTTTCCGCTACCGTGGCATCACAGTGTTGAAAGGAACCTAAAGGCCATCCGTATACTCTGGAGTCTTTCAAACTCTTGAAACTTAGATTTAATTAAGAGGCTTAGTCACTTCCAGGATCTGTTCATATGATTCAGTGCCCATTCAGGGTACTACAGATGACTACCTTTTTGTATTTGGAAGGAAATGGTTTATATTTATTGTGTTTTGAAATTATGAAATATTGTAATGCTTATAGATCTAAACTTTAAGTAGTTTTTATTTGTAAATCTGAGTATATGTAAGCATGAGAACCACTTCCTTATATGTAATGTGAATTACTGCTGTAGAGACATATAGAAAATAAGGTAGTTTTGAATGTGTGTTGTAATGTTATTCAAATGTTACATTAGATATTAGTTTTTTAAGAATTCATACTTTTTTTTTTGAGGTAGGGTCTTGCTCTGTTGCCCAGGACAGAGTGCAGTGGCATCATCATAGCTCACTGCAACCTCACACTCCTGCGCTCAAGAGATCCTCCTGCCTCAGCCACCCGAGTAGCTGGGACTACAGGTATACATACTATCTATGCCCAGCTAATTTTTCTATTTTTTGTATAGATGGGGTCTTGCTCTTGCTCAGGCTGGAGAATTCATACTTTTTAATTGATGGTAGCAGGTCACTAATCTGCTTTATGTAGTATTATTGTTTCCCATTTGGAACACAATCAGGAACCTAGAGTATTTCAGCTGCTTTGATTAATCACACTTATCCTTTCATATTTGTTTTCCTTTTGATAGTGTGAAATATTTAACAAGGTCTATTTTATCTCTTCCCTTTCCTTCCTAAAAAAATCTTTAGCTAGTGTTCTGAGCTGTGTCTATTCAGTTACTTTTACTGTTTGCCCTTGATGAAGACTTCTCGGGCAGTATTGAAAGGAACTCCCCAATTTATTTATACACACATAGAAATAAAATTATTTGTATATAAATACAGAATAATATATATTTTTAGTAAACTTTATCCGTTAATCCTAATATCAGTGAGTGATGAAAGTACTATTGTAGTGTACCACTTTTATTTATTTATTTATGTTTTTAGAAACAGGGTTTTTCTCTGTCTCCCAGGGTACAGTGCAGTGGCACGATCACAGCTCATTGCAGCTTCTGAACTCCTGGGCTCAAGTGATCCTCCTGGTTCAGTCTCCAGAGTAGCTGGGACTACAGGTGCAGGCCACCATGCCTGGCTAATTTTTCTCATTTTTTGTAGAGATGGAGTCTTGCTATGTTGTCCAAGCTGGTCTCGAACTCCTGGGCTCCAGTGATCCTCCTGCTTTGGCCTCCCTAAGTGCTGGGATTATAGGTGTGAGCCACTGCACCTGGCCTAGTGGGCCACTTTTAAAGTGTATATATTAAAACTACTTCTGGAGACTCTTTGTAATATTTGATTTCTGAATTTTTCAGAATTCTGTTTTAGCATTTTTCTAGTTTGCTGCAGTCTCTAGCACTCATATTTGCTTCCCTTTTACAGAGGACCTGGGTGTTTTTTCCTTATGGCTGCCTGCTTTGCTCAGGTACAGTGTGTGCCTGCCCTTTTAAGGCACTTGAATTTTTTTGAAGATTGCCTTACTGGGTGATAAAGGGCATTTTTTCAACTGAACAGGAAGGGGAGAGGAAGTAAGGATTGATAATTTCTTTTTTCTTTTTTTTTAGTCATTCCCTCTTGATGGTCAGGGATTGATGTTTAGAAATTCTACTAGGGCTAAAGACATTTTCAGAGGAAAGGAAATAACAATAGAAAAATCAGAACTTAGATTCCAACAGCAACCTTTTCTGACAGAGTTGTGCTGTGCTGCCATCATTTTTCCCATCCTCTGGCAGATTTATTTCTTTTTCAAACTCTTCTCATGTGCCTACATAGCAGGTTCCTTTAAATTTTAATTATTATATTAAAAACCTTGAAAGAATGATTCAATGGTATCATAACTTACAAGGAAATCACAATATGCTGGGAGAGTAGAATCCTATGATAAATGAGGTGACATTAAATTAATCATAAATTCAAAGATATGTGTAGAAAACCCTTTAAAATAGGCCATAATTACAGACATAGATCCTGTATCATAGATGATCAATGCTACATAAAGCTCTGCTCATATAAATAAAGGCTAAGAATTTTTCTATTGCAGTTAAGTTGAAAATATAAAGAAAAGAAGTCCCCTAAGGAAAGTGGTTCTTGAGGAAGAAAGTGATAAATATTCTTGGAAGATTTGGAAGAATCCGAAGCATGCCACCCAGGAAATAATGGTTTCATAACATAAGCGATGGTTATTTGTCTACTGGTAAAATGCCGTGTACTGCTCTGGAAATGAGTGCTATGTTGTTATTATGCTACAAAAATGGTAGCATTAAATTTTTTGCATCAGCAGATTAGTGTTGTGCGTGATTTTGGCCATAAAAAGTTAATTACAGACTTTGAAAATACAGTAAAGAGGACCTTGAGGAAACTTATTTGTTGCTTGATGTTTTCAGTATTGGTAAAAAAATATATATGTGTGTGTGTGTGTGTGTGTGTGTGTGTGTGTGTGTGCATATTTCTGTGCAATGCATGCATACAAAAGTAACTGTTCTGCCATTATGAAGATGTGTTCTGTGTTGGGAGCTAGGTGAGGTGGCTTATGCCTGTAATCCTTGAGCTTTGAGAGGCTGAGGTAGGAGGATTGCTGGAGCCCAGGAGTTCGAGCCAGCCTGGGCAACATAGCAAGACCCCATTTCTACAAAAAATAATGATAAAAAATTAGATGGGTGTGTTGGTGCACACCTATAGTCCCAGCTACTCAAGAGGCTGAGGTGGGAGGATCACTTGAGCCCAGGAGTTCGAGGCTGCAATGAGCTGTGATTGCACCACTGCATGCCACCCAGGGTGACAGAGCAAGACCCTGTCTCTAAAGGAAAAGAAAAAGCAAAAAAAGATGTGTTCTGTGTTGGGTTTTTAGTTGTCACAGTCCAGTGAGCATATAAGCACAGAAAGATACCAAACATCTCTTTTGTCAGAATGCTTATTTGAACTTTGTTGTTATAGTTGTTTCTGACTACAAAGAGTTGTGGTGTCCTTGTTAGCCAGGGTTATGGCATGTTCACTTCTAGATAAGAAGAGACATTTGAATTCTTTTATCAAATTATTCTGTTGTATATAATGAGACTTTTTTTGTTTCTGCCTTAGCTTCTGTTATAGTTGTTTCTGACTGCAAAGAGTTGTGGTATCCCTTTTAGCCAGGGTTATGGCATGTTCACTTCTAAGTAAGAAGAGCATTGGGGGAAAGGATGAGGTGGTGAGAGATGCCAAAAAGCAATGTAGACATTTTAATTCTTTTATCAAATTATTCTGTTGTATTTAATGAGCCTTTTTTCCTTTCTGCCTTAGCTTCTGGTACCTTGCCTTCTGGAAAATAAAAGCCTTGAGGAAAATTGAAGGAAATGTCACCTGACCTTGTTCTTCTTCCTTGGATATAAGTTGGGAAGCTAGGAGAGATGAATTTTCCTTTTCTTTCCAGTTTAAAGTGCTTGGACAATTTTTCTAACATTGTCTATTCTTCCTCAAAAAGAAGTAGGACTGAGAAAGCCCACGTGACTACCAAAATCCAATTTCTCACTCTCCCAAGAAAAGACTGAGACTAGCATGAATGACATTAATGTTCCTTTTAAAAATCATGTCCATTCTCTACCTGAAAACTTTTATCTTGCTGGGCCCAGTGGCATGTGTCTGTAGTCCCAGCTGTTTGGGAGGCTGAGGTGGGAGTTGAGCCCAGGAGTTTGAATCCAGCCTAGGCAGCATAGTGAGACTCTCATCTCTTAAAGGCATGAAGATAATTTTTTTTTAAGTGTTTACTTAAATGTTTATTTTTCCAGGTAAATATTGATGACTAGGCAGTCTCTTTCAAGAATTAATCTAAGAGTCTATTGCATTCCTATAGATTTAATCAATATTGAAATACTCTTCGTATAAAATGTATTTATTCTTTTTGAAAACAAACATGTATTCATATCTGTCCATTTATTCTTATGTTTATCTAGTTTATCTCTGTGAAGATGTGTAAGAAACTGAGAACACTGATTGCTCTAAGGGAGCAAATGGGAGTCTGGGGAATGGGGTTTGGAAGGTTGTATACCTTATTCTATATGTCCTTTTAAAAACCTTCTATCCTCTTCACAGTGATATCCTGAGAGAAGATGGGGAAGGGCTGCAAGGTTGTGGTTTGTGGATTGTTATCTGTGGGGAAAACTGCAATTTTGGAGCAGCTCCTTTATGGGAATCATACTATTGGTAAGATTATTTTTCTCTAGTTTCTTTCTAGGTTCTTGGAACTGTTAGGGGTCTTTTGTTGATCATGCTATACTAAAGGTGGTTGATGGTACACAAAAGTGAGGTGTAATCCAAAGGGACCAAAAGAGTCATAGAAGTCAAGAGATTAAGAGGGGAAAACAAGCAGAGAGAAAAAAAAATCTTAGTGAAATTTAAGAGTGCCTGCCATAAGTTATAACAGATAAGAAAAGAAATGGATAGATAGGTATGGCTATGTATTCCTTTGTATGTATGTGGTTTCCTGTGTATTTACATAACGAATGATGGTCTAGGAGTCATACAATCACAGACTTAAGAATACACTGAGCCCAGGAGGTGGAGGCTACAGTGAGCTATGTAAGTGCCATTGCACTCTAGCCTGGGTGACAGAGAAAGAATACATTGAATGATCTCTCCTTACTTCAAGCATGACTTTCCAATGCTGCTGTATAGGTTTTTAAAAATGGAAGAAACAGCTGTTTGCTGCAGTATGGCCTAATTTTTTTGATTTATCTCATTCATTTATTCATTTACTGAGTCATGTAATTATTAAATATTTGCTATATGTTACAGGCTGTGATGAAGCCTTTTGGGGTTACAGAGGTGAAGAATACAGCATCTCTGGATTTAAGGAGGTCATGGTTTAGTAAGGAGGAGACATTACAGGTTAGAATGAAACAAGGTTTGTTAGATAAGTAAATGTAGATTGTCAAAGCATTTATCTCTGGCAAGTAGCTTAGAGCACATTTCTATTTTTTATTAACCATAACCATTTTGATGAGCTCTGCTTCTCTTTTAACATGTTTAACAATTGTGGTTAAATCTGTATTTGGTGTTTATTATAATGCCTGTGCCAACAGTTCTCAAACTTTTTGAGAATCTCTTTACTCGGGACCCCAAACAGCTTTTGTTTATGTAGGTTATATCTTTCAGTATTTATTAGAAATTAAAACTGAGGCCGGGCACAGTGGCTTATGCCTGTAATCTTACCACTCTGGGAGGCCAAGGCAGGAGACCAGCCTGAGCAAGAGAGAGACCCTGTCTCTACTAAAAATAGAAAACTTAGCCAACTGTGGTGGCTTACACCTGTAGTCCCAACTGCTACTCAGGAGGCCGAGACAGGAGGATCCCTTGAGCTCAGGAGTTTGAGGTTGCAGTGAACTATGATGACACCACTGCGTTCCACCCAGGGTGACAGAGGGAGACTCTGTCTCCAAAAAAAAAATAAATAAAAAAATAAAACTGAGAAATTTTAAAACTACTATTTTTATTTTAAAATGACACTGATAAACTCATTACATGCTAAGATAACATTTTTATGAAAATATATTTTCAAATAAAAAATAGAAGACTGCCATCGACTTACATTTCTGAAACTCTTTCTAATGTCCAGCTTAATAGAAGGTAGCTGGATTGTCATATCTACTTGCTTTTGTACTTAATCTGTTGTGGTATGTTGTTTTAGTTGAAATCTATAAAGAAAATTCAGCCTCACACAGATATGTAGTTGGAAAAGGTAGGAGGAGTACTTTAGCAGCCTTTCCAGATAGTTCTGGTTATTTTGATATTTCACTGAAACTCAACAAGTGATGGTTACTTAACGGTATTGCAGTGTGGAACCTGAAATCATTACCAGTGAACTTGTTGTACTCTGTTATATTACATTAAAATCTCATTGATCGATCCTGTACTTTATTATTTTATTTTAACAGTATTATAATATACATACCAGGGAGTTCCCCAGTGCTCCTTCCAAGTTAATTTCTGCCCTGCCCTCCCCCCCAAAGCAGACAACCACTACTCTGATTTCTATCACTATAGATTAATTTTGACCATTTTTGGACTTCATATAAATAGAATCATATAGTATGTATTCTTTTGTGTCTTGCTTCTTTTGCTTAGCATAAGTTTTTTTTT